GGCGGCCCTGCCGGGGGCGAGGACATGGCCCAGGCAGCAGGAGCCGATGAACAGCTCAAGCGTCCGGCTCGGGACCCGGGACCGCCCCTGGAGGCAGCGCTTGCTAGACCAAGTCACCTGCTTCTTTCGCCCAGTAATAAACTTAGTGAAGCTTCATTTTCGAGCCTGTCAAACTGGCTTGCGCTTAGATGGAGTAGTGTCTCTGCTCTCCAAATCATCCTTCCTCTGCCTCCACTTTCCCTTTCCACATCAGCTGTGTAACGCAGGAGCTTCACATTACAGCGACTCCCACTGAGCCCCTTACATTCACCTCTGTTTTAACATCTTCAGACTACAGAAAGTGTTTAAAATTGATTGGGGGGGGAAGATGCTTTGGGGACAAGTTACCTTTACAACAGAAAAAAATTCAATGGGAGAGGTCACTTAGGTAAAATTGTTTTCATTTGATTACAGATCTTCATTATAAACTCATAATGAATCAGACACTGCAGAAAGGTAGGCTGCACTTCTGTGTTTCTCATAGGGCTGGCTAGTATTTCCTTTTCCACTGAAGTTCCTTTCTTCCCCCAATTCATCTCCTGAATAATTGACATTGTGTTGTGGTATTTTGCCCAGTGCTCAGGCCCGACTCAAAGCTCCAAGAAAAGCTCCACTGCCATTACTAGATTTTAGTTAAGATGATTGGCACGTCACTATCTACATTTATATGTGGAAAAAGGGACATGAATTTGTAGCAGGAAAAAGCTGAATGTGGTTGAAATGTCATCATTCTGATGTTAATAGTCATATGGGTGAACATGACTGATATATTTCAGTAATGATTTAGGAGAACAGTGAAGCACGGGTGCATGTCTGTGCTACAGTAATCTCATCAACCAGGTCTACACTGGAGTCTTTAGTAGAGCAAAGGCAGCTGGGGAATTTGCTTGGGTTTTCTGCAATATTTCTGTATTGTCCAAAGCACTAATATTCATGGGATATACCTGCACCTATGAGAGTAGCCTTCTGCGTTGCCCACTCCGTGCTGGTAGCATCTTGATTTGGCAAACTTCAGTTTACCTGAATGTTGCACTGTAAACACAGACTCGGGTGCATTGTCAGCTCTGAAGTTACAATGCCCAGTTCATCATATGTCATTCCTTTTTTGCAGATGATGTTTTAACCCCTACCTTGTCTTCTGACAAACCCTATTCAGGGTGCAGTTCAGCAGGTAAGAACTTAAAACAACTAACTAAATTGCCAAAAATTGTTTATAAATTGGCAGAACAAGACTATGTTTGGGCTACTACAAATTTCATGATGCTTATTTGGTTAGTTCTGGTAGTATCAAGACATCGTTGTAACCCTTTAACCTTAGCTAGGATTCAGTCGATGCTGCCCCTTGCTCTTACTTAGCCAATTCCCATAAGCAATGTAATACCATCACCTGCTGTGTATTTTCACTGAATCCGAGGTGCCTCAGGCCTGTGGCTGCAGACTGTTCCATCTCTGGCCTGTTACATGCATGCAGTTACAAAACCTCCTACCCCTGAAAAATCAGTTTTACTCTCTAAACAGCTGCTACTGTAGCTTCTAGATATTCACTGAAAAACAGGCAGCAAGTGGAGCAGCCCAAGCAGCAGGAACCAAGTACTGAAGAACAAGTGTTGAAGGTGGTACAGACAGAACCAGACCTTCCTGATCCAAAGGTGGAGAAGACAATAGAACAGGTTCCTTCTAGGTAAGAGCAAGGCATCAGCATGCAGCAGTTCATTTGGAAAATAGTCAAGTGGTACGAACATTTCTGTATTTTAGATGTCCGTTCTTCTGAGCATCTCTCAGTGCTCATGCACCACATACTTAGAAAGGTACAGTCCAGGTCAGACTCTAGCAAATTATATTGGATTGCTCCTCTAATATCTGATTTAGGCTTTCTTGACATTTCTAAGATGCATGTAGTGCAAATGCACCCACACAGATGCTAGTGTCCTATTCTAACAGTGATATTGGAGGAACTCTTTTTATGTGTATAATCTTCCATTTTGGTGTAATATTACGAATTACAAGGGACACAGACCCAGGCAGAAAAGTGCCAATCCCATATTCTCTTATGAACTATCCTTTTCAGAGACCAGAGAGAAAACCTGTTTAATTACAAATGAAGGTCTAGTCTAAGAGAGTTTAAGACAATGGCACCTGCCATATTACCTTTTCTCATAGGTGAAATGGTTGTAATACTTATCCAGACCTCAGAGCTATCAAAAGGCTAAAATTCAAAACACTTAAATATTAGTTAGACAGCATCACAACGGAAATGTATTTATTTTAACTGCAATCACTTCTAGAGAAATCAGAGAAGTCGCTGAGAAAGCGACATCCCCAATTCCATCGCTGGCAAGTCAAATTAGATCTGGGCACTCACAAGTGCCAACATCCTCCTCAAATCCCTACCTGGTGAATGTCCTCCCTTCATACACTCGGAAGCCACCTACGCTGGAAGAGTGCGAGATTGTCATTCGCCAGCTATGGAGTATAAACCACATGCAGGCCCAAGAGGTGAGGCTATCCCAGCTCTCAGTCCGTATTTTCACTGGCTTTGGAAAGCTGTGATCAATATAATGAAATAAAAGAGATGGTCAGGGGAAAAAAGTAGAATGATAATTTTTCTTACCTGCCCTTCAGCTAATGTATCTGAAATCGTACCTGCAAGATATCCTTAGAAACAAAAGGATTCCCGAAGACTATCTGCTAGCAAGTCAGATTGGGTAAGTTATATTGAGTTATTTCAAGGCCTTAGTGTATCAGACATTCTAGAAACGTTTGCTACTCTACCACTGTTTCTATTTCACAGGTACTACGTTTTTTTTCTGAATGGATTTAGTGGATATTAAATAGGCTATAGGTGCAGACTGTCTAGACAAAGGTCACTTGCGAGTCCCAACTTTAAAGGGTTCCCTATTCTAAATCAGCAACTGCAAATTAACCAAAGCATGCCCATCTCAGATTTTGCCCAAATGATTCCACTGCTGCCATTGTGTGCATAAAGCATGTTGATATCATGTCATAATAAAATCTGCAACCAAAAAGCCAAATCTTATGCCTGAACCACTTTTGCTGTTTTGTAACAAGGTTACTGCTTGCTTATGAACAGCACTAAACAAATGCCAAATAATTGTCTGCTATTGCTACTAGCATTCAATTTACTCCACAGCTAAAATAGGGTTACCAGTCTGTCCTTCTCAAAGTACATATTTACACAAAGGTGCCTCAGCCTAGGAAGAGAAGCATAGCCTAAAGAGAAGCCAGTCAATCTAACTGGAAGTCTGACTTTTGTGTTGGGGGACACCAACAGTCTCAAGAGGGTCAGATTCAGCTTGCATTGTAGTAAATGATGTATAAATACACCAAGTTCATTTGGGCAGTATCTATTACTATCTAAATGGAGATGACACGACAGATGAAACAGAGCAAGAGGGAAGAGGCCAAGGGTAGTCACCCTCACTAAGTAATACACACATGACAACACTCATCACAAATCTCTGCACTTTTGTTATTGCATCTCTCCAGTCAAAAGTGGGAAGATTCTGCAAGGCTGGTAAGGATTACGTTAACTGTAGGTTCATAGAGTTTATGATGAGAAGCTGCCATTAGTTCTAACATAGGCTAGTAAATACTATCCAGGTAGTATCCAGGTACTGTACCAAACCCAGTAATTTAGTGATTACTAAAACATACATATTTTTAAATGGCACCTACTTTTGGTTTAAGAACCTCAAGACATGAAAAATGCACCACTTCCCTTGGTAATTTGTTCCAGTGAGAAATCATCCTCACTGTGAAAAACTGCATCCAACATGAAATTTAAGATTTCAGTTTCCAGCCCCAGAGCAGCTCCCCACCCAGCTGCTGAGGCTGGTCTCCATGGAAACCCTGGCCCCAGCCAAAGCCATGCAGGCAGGGGCTGCTGGGAAATGGAGTCTGCCAGATTTTGCCCACCTCTGTCTTATAGGCACATACACTACCGTAGCCTGCTTCTGAAACTAGTTCTTCAGCCGCTTTTCAAATGTAGGTAACACATGATTAACACAATTACAGTTCTCCTCTGGCAGAGTGAACCAGCCAAATATAATCATATCTACAAATATGTTTCAATTTAGGAATCAAGAAATTACACATTTACCTAAAGTGTCACTCAAGAATACAGCTAAGAAATGGTAAGTACTCCTTATTTCTTTAGCAGAACTTTTTATAAAGTGTCTGATCTCATACCTACATAAGGTTGCCATTTAAATTAATCTTTACTTGGCTTATGACGAGATTGCGTGCTTAAATGTTGTGTTATGATTGAAGACAAGTCTAAAATTGGTTCTCCCCCTTTTATCTCAGTTCCATTATCCAAGAGACTGCCCTCTTCCAGAGGGTCACAACTGATCAGAGGTCAACCCATCTACTCCATTCATGGGCCCTATAAATTTAAGGAGAGCTCACTGCTTTACTTTTAGTACCATAATCATCACCTTAGAAGAGTACATGCACAATGATTTCATAGCTGATAGTCTGAACATTGCTTCTGCATATTCACAGTACCACCTGTGAGAGGGACATCACTGACTCCAAACATTTAGTGCTTTGGACATGGCTAATGCAGTCCTGTGGGATACTACTTTTCTCAAAGGATCAAACAGTTTAACAGCATATCACAGTAAAAAAACAGGCAGTTAAAACCTCTCAGAGACATGTAGCTCTACTATGAAAAATAAGCAGCCACTTTGAATTACTTATACCGTACTTTTGTATACAGAGTCAGAGCTGATGATAAGACGTGCTGTATTGGCCCTGCAGTACTGAGGGAAGAGAAATCTTTCTGGTTCCCATTCCCTTTCAAAGCCAGGTTCTACTCATAATGGTATTATATCTGTATTATACATGCCCTTTTATGAAGGGGTAAAGCCAGCCCAGGAACACATTCTGAGCTTGTCTTTTCTCCAGCGCTGAAAGCCAAGATACTTGTAAGGAAAGAATGATGAACTAATCTTCTACATGAGATCAAAGTAGATATAGAGCATCTGCTTTCTACCCTAATGCACCCTTTCCCACAGTACAACATACTCAAGTACCTCTTTGTAGTGCAAGGGAACAGGTAACCATGTGCTATTTAAGGAGTGAAGGGAGAGGAAGCTTTTCAACAAACTATACAATAAGATCTCCCTTCATGGGAGCATTTTTAAAGTATGGGGGAAAGGGAGAAAGTGGGTTTTTTAAGCTAGCATTCAAGATACTGATGAGCAACTAGTTAATCTCCTCCCAATATCTTAAAAAAGGATTAACCCCTAGTGTAAGAAATCCAGATTCAGGCACTCAATGTGACAGGAGAACTAAATCCTGAACTTGGACTTTGGCAAACGAAGATCAATTCACATGAAAAGTTAAGGTGCATCTGTTTGCAGTTCACTACTGCTCGTCTCAGCTGTTATGCCTCCAAAAATATTTACTAGCAGAGGAACCTTCCTCCCCAACACTGTTATTAACTTACAAGGAAAAATATTTGCTAAACAAACCTAAGATAACTTCTAAGGTAAGAATTCACCTTTCAGCTGCTGGAGCAGAACACTGCCTAGCGCAGTGCATTATATAGAATCACTGAGGTCACCAATAAAGGAGACTCAAACACACTAACTTGAATCATTACCTATTATTGATAAAGAGAAGAGGGCTCAAAGTAATCCCGTTGTAATTAGTTTGTTACATTCCTCTATCCATCTATTTCCAGTTTGATTGTAGCTCCACTCCCTCCTGCTGAAAGGGCAGTTTTGCCAGCACTGAAGCAAACACTGGGAAACCGTTTTGCTGAGAGACAAAAGAAAACTCAAGCTATTCAAAAGAACCGTCTTCGTCGGACCCTGCTTTAGCCTAGTGCTGCAGCTGTATTCCAGATATCCTTCCTTAGGTGGATCCAACACCTTAAATGTTCCAGTACTCACTGCACCTGCTATGGCTGCCAGTTTTTGAGAGTTTACATTGTACTTTCAACATAGATTGTTCTGCTGCTATTCTCTCCATTTCAATTAAAAGTTGATTAAGAAGTAATTCTGATTGTCATCTGTTTAGGAAACAAGAAGATTGCTTCTATATTTGCAGTTCTGAAGTGTTCTTCCGGTAGTTTCTGCAGAAACTGCCCCACCATTATACCCTGGGAAGGAACTGTTTACTTTGAGAAATTAATTTTATTATTGAAAGCCTGCAAAAGATCACTGTTTGATAGGCACTCTAGTGGCATGAAATTCTTCCCACTGTTAAGGCCAATTTCCATTCCACAGACTTCAGGACTTAGCTTAAAATAAGTAGCTTTACCATAGCCAAAAAAGGGCCAGTTTAATCAATAACACTGGATCACAGCCAACTTGTGATCACTGCCCTGCACAGCTGTGAATGAACTGGGCAAATCAATACCATAAATTTATCAGAAATGCTGACTTAACGTAATAACCTCACCGATGAGCTGACAGCCCTCTCCCACAAACAGACATGACTAAGCCTTCAGCTGTACACCTTATACTCACCATCACTCCACTGCTTCAACCCTGTTGTGGGGGTCATTTCTAGTCAATTCAGTATGAGGGGGGAAAATTCCCACCCCAGAAAAGTATGGTGACAATTTTGAAAACTGGAATACAGTATGTGCTGCAGGTAAGCATGTTTTGCCATGTCAGCCAGCTGGTATGCCTGAACCTTGTCCTGAAGCAATCAACCTTAGGATCATCAATGCTATTGTGATACATTCCCCTTCAGAGTTTCTGAGGCAAGGATTTCTTTGGATACCTTTTATTTGACAAAATGCAAATTGGGGATAGTGTTAGGTAAGTTTTTGAATGCAAGACTTTGAAGAAGAATGTCTTGCATTCTTAAGCTGTCTAACTATATCTCAACTATGCAGTTGGTTCAATAAAAAAGGGATCATCCAAAGAGATACTTGCATCCTGCATAATTCCTGGACCATCACTCTAGCATTACCTTCAAAATATCTAAAAGTGAATGTCTCCAAACGCCTTGTTTTTGTCATATGACTAGACAGTGCATGAGGAAAACTTATGTGCAAAGCAGCTTTCATGAGATGAACACAGGTGCAGTAAAAATGGACTCAGGCTAGTAATTCAGTTTATGTAGACAGCTGTCTGACAGTATTGAGTTATTGGCCGTATGGGTTAGATATAAACTGAGAATGTTTTGCCTGTAGATAGCATTTCCCTTCAACTCTTAAACCTATCCTGCAGTGAATGATGAACTTGGCTGTTATCCTGCAGCAAGGAAGGGAAAGCCACCTCCTCTCTCCAGGGTTCAGAGGTATAGGAATATCAACTTAGTCTACGATAAGCAAAGTAATCCCAACCCCATCGATGCTACAGAGCTGGTGCCTAATGATTAAGGGTGAAATGGTAAAGGCGGAATAAAGTATAATATTAATGTAAAACACAGGAATAATAATAAATTTATTACAATAAAACAAAGGCAGATAATGCATTAGTTCATGTACAAAACAGATACCATTCCGTTGCCTCAATTAGTGCTTGCTAAGTACCCACGTTTAAAAACATCCTAAAACTGATGACACCACATATAATCACAGAGGCCACAGCAATTCCCTGACACTACTTTAAGAGGGTCCAGCTACTCTTCAGGGACTGTTGCACAATACTGGGAAATATAACAGGGTGTGATGGGAACACTTGAGACATTGAAGTTTCCTTGCATTCAGGAATCAACTCTTTCC